CTTAAGCTCTGCAGGATTTTATCTGTCCTTTAACCCTTTCGCTGCCAAGGCCTTTTTTGCATTTTTTGCACGCGTTGTAATCTACCTTTTAGGCCTGAAAATGACCTAAACCCCCTCCGAAACATTATAAATATGAAAGCACAGACCTTGTAGAATAAAATGGCGGCAGTTATATTAGCACGATATTAGCACAATTCTTTTTGAAACCTAAAAGTTTTGTAAAACTTTAATTTTAGTGCACAAAAACACAACATAATATCCATCTTTTTGTAAAATATAAAAGATGAGGTTTCGACGAGTAAATAGATAACCAGCATGCTCAGGTAATAAGTTGCGTGCATCCGTGAGACGGCAACAAAATACGGTACCCCAAATTGTCTATAGCCGGCGCTTTAAACGCCTGTGCAGGTCATCAGTTTACAGATATGGGAATATAGAATTATTGCTCTCACTCTGGTGCACACAGTGACAGTGGTGACAGGTTCTCTTTTCCACTTCAAAAAAACAATTGGAGTGCACTGCACCAGACTATGGAAGCGATCAGGCGGCAGCTCAGCCACCAGAATCACTTCCATTGTAAAGCAAACAGTCCGCTTTACACATGTAAACAGAGTCTGTTTAAAGGGGCCCGCTGCCAGCGAAAGGGTTAAAGCAGGGGTAGCCACACTTTGGCCCACCAGCTGTTGTGGAACTACTAGTCCCATCAAGCATTGCAAGACAGCCACAGGCATGACTTCCAGAGGCAGATACATGATGGGAGTAGTTCTACCACAGCTGGAGGACCAAAGTTTTCCTACAAGGGCCAGCCTTCGCTCCCCACATGCATCAGTGAGCCAGCTGCCCATGACCCGGTCGCCGGTTCACTGGTTTTCCTTCCTTGGACCACGGTTTCGGTTGGCCCTGACCACGGCACACTAGGAACATACCACAAGAGTTGCAGTTTTGGAGTTGCTCTGACCCAGTCGTCTCGGCATCACAATGTGGTCCGTGTCAAAGTCTCTCAAATCCTTACACTTGCCCATTTTTTCTGCTTCCAGGATATCAACTTCAGGGACAAATGTTCACTTGCTGCCTAATATATCCCACCAACTTCCAGGTGCATTGTAATATATCCCCCCACTTCTAGGTGCCATTGTAATATATCCCCCCACTTCCAGGTGCCAGTGTATGAGATAATCAATGTTATTCACTTCACCTCGCAGTGGTCATAATTAGGGATGCACCAATACAGAATGTTTGGGCGAGTACTTGTACTCGCCCAAATGCTCTGATACCTTCCCCAATACCGGGACTTCCGGTCAGAGGGAGATTTCCTCTGACCGGCAGTGCCGCGAGGGAACATGAAGCCGGCTTCCTGGCCAATCGGCAATCTGCACAGCCGGTAATGGCTCACCGTCCGGCCTCCTGATTTGCCAGAAATGCTGATTGGCCGGGAAACTGGCTTTCCAGCCAATCAGCATGGAGCCAGCTTCCCGGGCAGTGGGTAATGACTCGCTGCCCGGCTTCCTGATTACCAGGAGAAGCCGGCTTGATGCTAGTGGAAGTACCGGTATCGGCGAGTACCGAAATATAAATATCAGTACTCATACTTGATACCTAAAAACCGGTATCAGTGCATCCCTGGTTATATATATATACAGGGCTTGAAAAATTTGGCGGTGTCTCACCAGTCAGTCAAAAATGTCACCAGTCAGCATGACCGGACTATAGCCTTGCAATATATGTTAAAAAATTTTGGAGACAGATAGAGCTTTGTTTTGTGTCCCCACGGGGGGGGGTTATTTGTTTTTACTTTATAATGAAAAAAGTACCATAAATGTAAAAAAAAAAAAAAGTTTCCCTATGTTATAAAACATTTATTCTTACCCAATTTTCGAGCCCTGTATATACTCAAGTGGAAATCCAGGAATTACATTAGACAGTTTAGTGTTGACCGGAAAAGCCTTTCTCTCTGCATTTTAGACTTCAGATACACATAATGAATATATACACACAGGTTTCAAAAGATTATACAGTCCTATGTGAGTATGTTTGTGTGTGTGTATAGATTTCTATTCTTTGTAATATTCCCTTTGCACACCGTAACGTTATACTCCAGAAAAAGGGTGCTGGAACCACAGTATACAATCTAGAAGATATGTTGTCTGCACACCTTTCTGCTTCGGAATGTCATCTTTCTTTGTATTCCTTTAGCATGTGCATGCAACATGTCAGTCTCAAAGGACCCATTCGTCAGGCAAAGTTTAACACTGCCTGATGAAGCGGTCCTGTGAGTCTTCGAAACGTTGCATGCACATGTCATGCTAAAGGAATCCGAATAAAGATGACATTCCGAAGCAGAAAGGTGTGCAGACAACATATCTTCTAGATTGTATATATTTCTATACACATTGTACAGTAAATTCTTACTTCTGGGTATTAGTACAGATCTCCACTACTTGGCACAGCTGCTGCTCACCAGTATCTAGTGTTTGTGACCATCCCAGTACTGGTGTCATCATTGTTATTGTATTACACTATCACAGCACATAAAGGTCAAATGCTGACTGCTAGTTAATCAGTAACAATGTTGAAACAATATTTTACCATATTTCCTTTGTTGAGATAAAAAGAAAACAATGCCATGGCTGTTTATGCATTCGGAGACCAGGCTTGAGCCCCTTAAATTCTACTGGAGGTTCCGGCTGTAATGCTGGTCAACTTTGTTTATTGAGAAATTTGGGACACCATATGAATAGCACAGTGACGTAGTGGCTTTTATTGTTAGATAAGGTATGAACTCCAGAAAGCCAGGTGAACAAAAGCCTTTCGCAGCTATACACCAATCGTTATTAGGCTTTTGTGTTGAGAAAAATGAGCTGGTCATATTCCTGTGGAATTTTGTGCAAAATTATTTTTCAGGGCTTCTTTTGTTCGGTTTTCTGAGGTCAAAATGACGATTGTGGTTTTTTGCTCAAGAAAGTCTATTCATTCCAAAATCAAATGAAATTTTGCACAACATTTGTTAAAGTGATATTAAAGGATTAACCCGCCCCCCATCCCCCCCATGCAATTGTAAGGACTTACCTTAAATAATGCCTCTTGATCCGATCATCTTCTTATTTACTGTAGTTTTCGAGTCTCTCCAGCGCTGGTGCGGGGTTTCTGATCCAGCGCTGACTCCTCTCTCCTCTGATGTCCCACGGAGTCTGTGCGGGTGCACGCTGCTCCATAGGCTTACCTTGTGTGTCTCCTCGTCTCCCGGCCGAACATCTGAACTGCGCATGCGGCCGCACGAGACTCTTCAGATTTTCGGACGGAAGCGCGCGGCGAAGACAAGGTATTTTAAAAAAAAAATGTTTCTGCATATACCTACTGCTTGCTAGCAGTAGATATATGCAAAAAAAAATTGCTGAGGGTTTAATAACACTTTAAGTGGCATTAGCTATTTTTCTGATGAGATTTTTGTCTGAATGTTAGTACGAAAAGCTCCCAGTGTATTGACATTGTTTTGATCGTTGATCATCACTAATGCAGCCGCAAGTCTTATGTATTGTGGGCATAAGGCCCCTTCCACATGGACTGTAGCCATTCTGATCAGCAGGGAATCCATGAATCCAGAACGGAACATATGTCATTGTTGTGGTTTCTGTGTCAGTTCAGTTTTTCTGCTGTCTTGTGATGGAGGAGAAAACGGGCCATGTTGGCTCCGGGCAGGCAGATGTAAATGAAGGTGTCTGTTTGCATCCATTTTACCTCTGATCTTTTATGTTTTAGGCCCTAACAAACTAAACTCTTTACCATTTTTTTCGGACCTGGACACATGCCCATTTACATCCACCTGCCCATAGATTGACATTAAGCTTTCGATCAGGTCAGCCTGAAATACTGACATTTGGATCTGGTTGTAATGGCCATGTGAAAGGGGCATTATTGTATAAGTGCTTTGGGTTCTATTGCACCCAATGTACATAGATGTGTCATCTCATCGTCCATACACATACTGCCATGATGGTTTGTGACGAGCTGTAGACAGTATGCATGTCCCAATGTAGAGTATACGACTGGAATGAGCTTCAGATCATAAACTAGAAGGTTGGTTGTTGTAGGCAAGACATTGCCAAATGTTTACTCATACTGTAACCCTTGTATGTAGGTACACGTATGGTTCAGAGGACTGGGTTTGAAAATGGAAAATCCCCTTAAATTAAAGGCATTGTTTTAGGGCGGGGGGGGGTGGAGTTACCATTGAGGAGGTAGCTTTAAATGACATTTATAGGCAGTTATTTAAACCTTGGCAGTGCAGTTGGCTGTATGTATATTTTTTCCAACACCCTTTATAGTATGAGATCATTTCAATGCTGCAGCGTGAAGCTGGTGGGAAACGATGGTTTTCTTTGATTCATGCCCTATTCCTGGCTTCCAGCCCTATTTTATTATTATTATTATTGCACAATCCAACTGCTCAGCCTAATGAGAGACGCAAATGTGAATGAGTTTGAAGGGGGTGACATTGAACTCTTTGCAGTGGTTGCCAGGAACATGACTGTATTGTGTTACAACTTGTCCTGGCTTTACAGCAAAGAGGACATTAAGATATATACCATTTGATGGTCTTGGCACCAGTACAGTGGTAAGAAAGCTATAATGTTAATACAATATAGAATCTGTAACGTTAATCAACTACAAACATCACCGTATTTGCTTCTTTTGTTTTTGTGATCTGCGGGTAGAAGCTGCGGGATGATAAAAACGGGAGTAGATGTGGAGGTGTCACCTAATGTCACCACTTAGCTTTTTTCTTTCTTTCTTTTCCTTTTTTTTTTTCTTTTCTTTTTTCTTCCTTTCCTTTTTCCTCTCTCTTCTCCACATAGTAACAATGAAACACACAGACGTGAGAGCAGTAGCTCCAGTTCTCATAAATCATCCCATTCTGCCCTTTTTAATACAGATAGTAGATCAGGCAAAATAATTGTGTTTTTCTCTTTTTTGAGTCATTTCTTTATTTGTTGTTGTTTCAGATCTTTCCTTATTCAGGTTCATCAGTGCTGAACTCACCCGGGGTTATTTCCTGGAACATAATGAAGCAAAATACAGGGAAAGGAGAGAGCGGGTCTACACCTGCTTGAGAATACCCAGAGAGCTGGAGAAGGTCAGTAGTGCCTTCAGGTGGTCTGTCCCTTCCACCGCTACTTCATATGATATGTCCAATGTCTTCATGGTATACTGTATGTCTACTGTCTTTCTTGCTACCATGTCTGCTGCTCTTGTTCATGTTAGGCCCCATTCACACTAAGCGACATACCTTACATGCGGATCCGCGCAACTGTTCTGGGCGACGACCGCGCGACCTTCACCGTCTGGCTGCATTCAAAAATAGAAAAATTGTGCGACATCCGCGGGAAAAAGGGTCCTGCTGAAGCGACGCGTGACTGGCAACATAGAGCTGTACATTAGAACAGCTCCATTGAATAACATAGCCCGGCGACTTCTCGCGATATCACGCGGCAAAAATGCTTGATATCGCGCCGGAAATCGCTGGATTTGCCACTTAGTGTGAATGGTGCCTAAGTCTTGTTAGTGATAATTGGTGGTCAGAACCCAAGGCTTTCTGTTTCCCAGGAAGCAAAAAATTGTTGTTCAAAGAAGGCCGCTCATTGCTCAGAATGTTGCGTGAGCTGCATGGGCATGCTGTATACACGACCAGTCACCTGCTCTGTTGTCTTCTCAGCAAACCACAAATGTCGCCGTTTTATAATATTCATTTGGTAGTTACATGCCTTGTCCTCCTGAAACTCTGGGAATAAAACTGGAGTAGACAGAATCTGGAGCAGCTGTCCACAGTAATCAGTCAGCTTCTCTCTTCAGTTGGAAAATGAAAGATAGAAGCTGAGTGGTTGCCAGCTGCTCCAGATTCTGTCTGCTCCAGTTTTCATAAATTCCCCTCCCTGTGTATTCCCTGCATCCTTCTGAAACCTGAAACCACGTAAAGTTCTGCTTAAAGAAAAATGTGCTGCAAGATTTTGATAGCAACCTAATTATAAATCATCTTTAGTGCAGCAAAATACTAGTTCATTTTAAAGTAAAAAAAAAAACTATTTCAGACTTTCCCTGCTACATGCTCATTTCAGGTCATTGATTTATCAGATGGAGAAACCAGGGCGTACAGAGAAGATCTGCAAGTGCAGTGCGTTTTTGATGCGTTCCTTTTTTATTTTTTTTTAGCTTAAAATAGGCTTTCAGGTACACTCTGTTGCGTTCCATTGCGTTTGCATGTGTTTGTCTGCATTTTGATGCGTTTACATTTTGTTTTGGTGCGTTCCAGACCATAAAAAATAGTGCCTGTAGCATTTTTTTCCCCGTACCAGAACAGACTGCATTGGTGTGAACAGAGCCTAGAAATACCATAGGAATACATGAGGATGCATTGCCTAGAAATACCATAGGAATACATGAGGATGCATTGCCTAGAAATACCATAGGAATACATGAGGATGCATTGCCTAGAAATACCATAGGAATACATCGGGATGCATTGCCTAGAAATACCATAGGAATACATGAGGATGCATTGCCTAGAAATACATGAGGATGCATTGCCTAGAAATACCATAGGAATACATCGGGATGCATTGCCTAGAAATACCATAGGAATACATCGGGATGCATTGCCTAGAAATACCATAGGAATACATTGGGATGCATTGCCTAGAAATACCATAGGAATACATTGGGATGCATTGCCTAGAAATACCATAGGAATACATGAGGGTGCATTGCCTAGAAATACCATAGGAATACATGAGGATGCATTGCCTAGAAATACCATAGGAATACATGAGGATGCATTGCCTAGAAATACCATAGGAATACATCGGGATGCATTGCCTAGAAATACCATAGGAATACATCGGGATGCATTGCCTAGAAATACCATAGGAATACATGAGGATGCATTGCCTAGAAATACCATAGGAATACATGAGGATGCATTTCATGTGCGGAGAAAAACTGTACTGGTCCAGACATGGTGTGAACAAGCCCTTAAAGGCTAACTGCACTGTTGAATCACATGCTGAATTTCTGTGTTACTGAGATGCTAGTGGCAATATATTACCAACAAAGTTAACCTTTTAACCCAACTGCTGAGGTCACTTTGTAGGGTAGTCCCATTTTTCAGCCATTTTTGAGATACCTGCCTACATACACTACTTTTTTTCAGCGCAATGGATCTGGTGTGAACTAACCCCATTCACACCCGTTCATTTTTTGGTGCCCTTTCTTTAGCATCCATTGAAAAAGGGATCACGACGCATCAGATCGGAAGGAATCCATAATGTACAATTGCAAGTCAATAGACCTCCCATTGACTTTCAATTTCCTTCCAATTTTGGTGCGAGTGCAGCCTACTGCTAGATTCACCTATTATGTGTGCGTTGCAGCGTTTGTGGTATTGCACATGCATATGTGTGAATGGGCTCATATAGTTCTCTGTCACACTAAATGGCAATGCATAAATGTTAACTAACAAAATGAAATGGGATTTCTACTTTTCCTGCATTTAGATCTAGTACAATGCATGAGTCTCTTTAACCTGCCCATAGACCCCAGATGGGTTTTTAGGGTGGGCATAGGGTGACTGTTTTATGTCTGTGGCAACAGATATGTAATAAACATTCACGGAATGACCCCTCTTTTGGAGAGAAAACCTTGTCTGGTTGCTAATATTCTTCTAATCCTATAGGTTGTTTTGGTTTCCCATTACATCTATGGCCAGCTTTAAGCACCTCGTGGTTTGCAAGTATTTTTGTAAAAGATTTTTTTAGATGCTATTGAACAGTAAAGATGTGTAACAAGAGGTGTAGGGCCTCAATATTTCAATTCTTTCCTATATGTTTATCTATCATCAGGACTTCCTAAATTATTATTATTATACAGGATTTATATAGCGCTAACAGTTTGCGCAGCGCTATACAAAACAGGGGAGACAGTAGAGTTTCAGTACAATAGGATTAGACGGGCCCTGCTGGTGAGTGCTTACAGTTTAGTAAATGCCTATTATTTCCTGTTCGTATAGAAAGAGTTCTCTTTTCTGAAACTGCATTTGAATTTTGTTCAATGTAGATAGCGATAGTTCTTAGCAGAGTTCCTCATTAAGTCTTGTTCCTTCATTCTTATGTGAGATGGGGGTCTAAGGTCAGAATATCACAGACTTATTACACTGGTACAGTTCCTGTTACTGTCCAGATGCACAAAATGACAGGCACCTAAGCCATTGAGCTGAATGTAGAGTGATCTTCATAGACACATGCCAGTAAGATTATCTCATTGCACCATATGGAGATATAACTCTGTTGGGCATAATCTTCTTTCTGCATATCGTGGCTTCTTTCCAGGTAGGACTTCAGTTTACTGGTTGTTAACAACAAATAAACAAGCAATGCACGCCATGTAATCTTCTTCTGGCACTATAACCTTATATCTGATTAGGTATTTATATATTGTCCCCTGTATAGTAATTGTCCTTTAGTCATGAAATTACATATTAAGGGATCTGATGGTTCCTAGAAACAGAAGCACTTGGTTTGTGTCTAAACTATGTTTGTGTGTTGTGTTTTTTCTATATTATTATTATAAGCTGCTATTTTACTTTGTTACATTGTGTGGTATGAGACCTGAATGGACTTTTTCATGGTTTTTTTTTATAGTATGAGTCAAGAACAAGCTTACCACCTCTGTCATTATAGACCCTGTTCACAAGCTAATGTATATTATTTGTTTAATATTGGTATTTATGTAACGCCGACAATTTAAAGGAGAACTATGAGGTGAGTGAAAATCACTAATTCTCATAGTTGGAGCCGACGTGTGACAATGAAACTGTCACACGTTGGCTCAATAGATCGGCAAGTGAGCGAACACATACCGTCACTCGCTCACTTCTCGATCATCTCTCTGCAGAGAGCAATGTCTGTCAGCCACAGCTCCCCGCAGGGATTCCCCCCTCTCCGATCCTCCAGTGCTGACTGGAGGAACGGATGGGGAAGGGGGCTTGCACAGCTGGCTCTGCCTCTAGATAGGCAGAGCCAGCTGTCACTCACGCAGCTGGGTGGACAGTAATGTCGTGATCCGTCCCGTCTGCAGTGGTCTCAATATACCGTGAGCTGTAGCTCGCGATATACTGAGCTTTGGGCCGCGGGAGAACGCTAGTATATGTCCTCCCATGACCCTTAAGAGAACTATGGGGAAAAAACACTTGCCCCATAGTTCTCTTTTAAACTTTACATAGTACACATTCACATCAGTCCCTGCCCCCCAAAAGCATATGTCTCATGCATACATACGGGACAACCCATTTAAGCACAGGGAGGACATGCAAACTCCTTGCAGATAGTGTCCTTACCGGGATACGAACCAGTGCCCTGGGATACAAAAGAGACGCCCAGAAGTGTTAACCACTAAGTCACTGTGCTGCCCCATGTACATGTTTCATGTTTTAGTACTACACATAAGCACAGATATGAACAAAAAAGCGCCAGATAGGACTGCTCAGCCTGGATATACCAATATAATCAAAAGTATAATCAAACAAAATCTGTTAAAAAATGGGAGCAAGTTGTAGAAAGTCTGCAGGATGCTGCCCCAAACCAGCCAGGGAGACAAAATCTAGGGAAAAACACAAACAAGGGGCGCCTTTCCTGGTGCAGACAAATTTATTAAGAACAAAATCAAAGTTAAATATGAAACATACTCACAAAGATCGGCATGATTGCAATATAAAGAGTAGGTGCATGGACCCAAGAGAAAGTCTATGATAGCTGCACAGCCGTGTCTGTGTGTCAGCAAAGAAGACTAAGTGATGACGCGTTTCCGGGGTCACGCCCCCTTCATCAGATGCAGGCCTCCTCCGTCCCATATGCAAGATATAGTGGCTGCTGGCCAATCGGCAAGTGTGCGGGAACCTCGTCGGCTCAGAACGCAGCTACTGGGGATGTGTATAATGTGACGTCCATGCCTGTGGAGAGGGTGCCCTGTCCAGTAACTGACGGGGCAACCCTTCAGGACACTGGACCAATCAATACCGGGATACGAACCAGTGCCCTGGGATACAAAAGAGACGCCCAGAAGTGTTAACCACTAAGTCACTGTGCT